GGTCGCAAAAACAATTTTTTCATAAGACAAGCTTGATGTAAAATTTTCCGCTCTTTCGAAATCCGCAGTCAAAAATAGGGTGTCCCATTAGAAAAAACCATCGTGACCTTGAAATAACCTTCAAAATTGACCTCAAGGTCAAAACCAATGGTACAATTGAACGACCCCCTCTGTCCTGGTCAACTTTTATTTAAACCATTTTTTTGTAGATACCGTAATTTGGAAGATATTCGGATCCATAGACTAAAATGACTCACCCTGTATAAAATTTTATATGATTTTATATAATTATATATGAAAAATTTTTCATTGGGTATATAATAGAAAATTTTTTTTTCAATTATTTTTACGATTATTTACAAAGATTTTATTTATAAAATTCTAATTGATTATAAAAAAGCGCAGGAATATTTTTAAATAGCTATGTTATAACGTAATGTTTTTTAAACAATTAATATTTATGTTATAACGCAATGTTTCTTAAACAATATTTATATTGATTGTGTATATTCATTTTTACAGAAACTTATGATATTGCTAGAAGAAGAGAAAAGGAAGCTGAAAACGTTTCAACATCAGATGAAAGTGTATTGTTTGCATTAAGCCAAAAATCTCCTGTGGATAAAATGAAAAAGAGAATTATTAAAAGACCACAGTTTTACGACAAAATCGAGGATTATAAAATTGAAAGAAAATATTGTTATATTTATTCTGAACATAATGTATAAATATAAAAAATTGCAGGTAGAATTAATATTTCTTTTTATAGTGTTTTCAGTTTAACAACCTAAGCTGCGTTCCAAAACTCTACTTGACGGATAGAGTAGTATTTAATTGACCAATAAGAACAAAGATAACTAGGATTTCTTTATCACGATTGATCAATTAAATGTACTCCACCTACCGAGTAGAATTTTGGAACGCGACCCTAGAGAGCCTCTGAGGGAGATGGTGATAATGTGACCATGTCTCTGTTGATTTGATGGAGACACAAGGCCTTCTCGACCAATCAGAATATCAGTATAGAATGTCGATAAGCTGGCCATTGTAAAATCAGCCTGTCAACTTTCTATATTAATCTTCTGATTAGCTAAGAAGGCTCTGCACCGAATCAGCAGAGATCTGATAACGTGATCAGTTTGCCACTCTCTTCCTCAGAGGCTCTCTATAACAACCCAATTCCTAGTTCCTGATTTAGCTTAAACCAATCAGAATTTCACATTTTAATCTATAGATGAGTTGTTCGACAAAACCCAGGTTGGAACTGAGTTGCTAAATCGAAAACGCTATTATGCGTCGTCCGCAATAGTTGCGTTCAGCAGAGAAAGCTGCTTGATATATGCTCTTATGGAAGATTCACACCACGTCCGTTGTCCGACGTACGATGTCCGATATCCAATATGGAGAATTAAATTCTCTATTAGAAAGCTGTTCTCTTATTGGATATCGGACGTTGTACGTCGGACATCGGACGCGGTGTGAATCCTGCATATTCTTGGCTGGATCTAGATGGGCCTTTAGATAACATCCATACAACACAAATGTTCGAAATACATTCTAGGAACATTCCAGGAATATTCGAATATTCCTGGGATGTTCCTAAAATTATTTAGAACATTTGTACTGTATATGCGATAGCAGTTAAAAGAAATCA